ATAATAATAATAATAATAATAATAATAATAATAATAATAATAATAATAATAATAATAATAATAATAATAATAATAACTCTTTATACCTCATGAAGAGTTTTTTTGTGCTTTCTTAAAATTTCAAATTTGGATTCACTATCTTCAGTACTCGATTCCACAATAATGGTTCCTTCTCTGTCATAACATTCGATTTTTGCGTTGTTTACTTTCATCATTGTTTTTTTTTTCGAGTTCATAGCTATAGGTAGGATCCGTGAATAACCACGATTAAAATGAATATTCAATTTTAAAAAATGAATGTTCTGGTACATAAATTCGTAAATATTCAATAAATATTACATGAAGTTCGTGAATAATCTAATCTAATTGATCATTTTGTGTATCCATGTAAAATCGGATATTCGTTCAATAGTCTTTTTTGCTTACAAATATCATTTCTTTTTCGGCTTTCATTTATACGGGCTGAACACTCAAAGCATGCTTTTTGATTACTTTGAAATGCAATAATGGGTTTTATAATTAGACAAGACGAACAAAAGTTTGGAATTTCCATTTTATAATATTAAAGAAAGCGTAAATAGTTATTCTTATTATTACATGTATTATTATTAATCAAATGTCGTCATTATTGTATCAATCATTAATCCTAATGTTGCTAATTTTGGCAAATAAATTTAAAACCAGATTACGTACATGATCTTGGTGCCGATACTAGGTGGGTCATTACTTTATTCTTGCGGAGATGTTGTCTTTTTTTATTAGATTTCATTTTCATATTTAGTTAGGGGCTTCTTTTTTAAAAATAGGTTCGTCCAACAACTTTTAATTAACCTAATATAATTTTACTATACTTCGTTATTGTTATTTCCGTTCTGAATATTATTACGTGACACCCATGATAATATAGTCTTCCATTCAGTTCTGGACACTTTAAATTCACTTCTACACATTAAAAACAAAATATATTTTCATTCCTGACTTTTAGATTAATAAAGGTCACGTATCTCTTTGACTATAGAAAAGAATTTTAAAATTTCTTTATCATTGTAATAAAATATTTAAGAGATACAATAACAATGCATGATTAATAGAAGAATATTTAAAAGAACAATGTTTAAAAGAACTGATTTTTAATAAATTTTAGAATTTAATATGATACTTTAATTATAAGAACATTGATTAAAATTTTTTCTTTAACTAATCATATAAATTTGAAGTAAATTAATTACTACATCAGTAATAAAACACTACTAAAACTAGTAATACATCTCGAACGAATTATTATTATTATTAAAATTCTTAAAGACTTAAATAAGTAAACAGAAATAAACTAATAAAGAGAGTAAATAAACTAATAAAAAGAGTAAACCCAAAGCGTGGTGCATTAATAGAACCGGCATTTGATTTAGTAGCAGGAGCAGTAGTATTTTCAGCAGCAATATTTACATCTGCACAATCGTATAATGTTGTATTTGATGGAGATGTTTCATTACCTTCAAGGAAAACTGATTGAAGAATACCTTGCTTTCCAACGGTTGCATTTACTTTGCTTAAGTCAACAGGAATTGTTAAATTTTGACCAAGCTTATCAGTTATATTATATTTCGTTGGATCTGTAACGAAAATAAAAATAAATATTATAATTATAAATTTATGTAATGCGAAAAAATGTTTATAAATCATATTAATTACCTGTCAAAGGAGCAAAAGTCTTTCCATCATCATTAGAAAAATAAAGGATCAAAGTACCGGCGGTAGCATGAAGCATGTCAACTGTAACAATACCACCCTTTACTATTTATAACAAATAAATCAATATTTATTTAGAAAAAGATAAATTCATATGAATATTGAATTTGTAAACTTACCAGGAAAAGAACTAATGGTGGTTTGATTAACATCAGTATAATTGAGACCACATGGAGCACCGTAACTTGAAACAGCACCGCTTCTGGGTGGAGGTGTTAAAAGTTTATAATGCGCGCTTACTAAGTTAAGGAAAAGTGCAAAGAAGATGCAAAAAATAACGGATTTCATTATGCTTTTTTTTTTTTTCTTAATTTAAAAAACACGGATATTCGAATTTAAAGAGCTCCAAAAATCCGTAAATGTTATAAAGTTCAAATTCAGCTGGTATTTATTCATGTTTTAATAATACTTTACTAGATTATCTGTTAACATGTCGTTTATATGATTCCTTAATTTTTTGCATACAGTAAATGCAATATTTTGAGTACAGTAACGGTGCATTAATCAGTAGACATAGTAATATGACTAAATCGTTATTAAAGATCAGATTTGCTGAAGCGATCGACAAAAAGTTTTATGTACAATACCACACAAAGTAATACATTGTAATTAAAAGTTGTTTAGTTAAGTAGTACTAAAGAGATTAGGTTTCGATAATCGTGAGATGAAAGTTTCACAAATTGCTAAAAATGGTTTGTGATTGATGCGGAAAAACGAATAAATTCTTTGCTGAAAATAAGGAGTGTAAACGTTAAGTTTTCCATGAATGTTATTATTATTCTTTATACAATTAACACATGTACATGTATGTACAACGTAATTAAATATGCAAATTTAATGAATTTCTTCAATTGTATAAACAATATCTAGCCCACAAAATTCCAATTTTGTATATTGTTACCATTTTCGTTATCAATAAAAAGATCTATTTTTTTGTGGATGTGTGTGTAAAACGTTTCTTAGGAAAGTTCTTTCTACGTACGTAATCATAGCTTTTTTGTCACACTATTAAATTTATTATAAATGTTTATTTCTATTTTATTTATACGTACGTACCATAGATTTAATAACAATGAATTTTACTATTCATAAAACTCTTTTTTTTCAATAATAATTCGGATTTAGTTCGTATAATAAAGTAAGGTTATTATCGGTATGTATGTATGTATGAATGTATGTATGTATGAATGTATGTATGTATGAATGTATGTATGTATGAATGTATGTATGTACACAAGTCAATTTTTAAAATCCATATGAATTTTAAAATTCAGGAGACCTTAGTACAACTCGTACGATGATGCTAAATCACTTTTTTGTTGACAAACTTTTATTCGACAAATACAGTAATAATTGATTTACTGTAGTAATGTGACAAAGGGTTGCATCGGAAAATACATGCGTACTAGACTGGGGCACCACTATATTTACGTAAGTATTTGATTTTTCGATTACGCCTTAACTCTTGTTCACACTTCGATCCATTTTTATTTGTGAAATGGAAATGAAAAAACCTGTGATGTTGAAGTGAAACAGGTCCTTACTCATAAATTTATTGTCGTAACCCTCAATTATTACTGCATGCAAATTATAACAAACCATGACTAAATTTTACTAGTGTTTTTTTATTAAGCCAATAACTAATTAAGTTATTAATAATCATAATTATTACATTATTTATGTAGTATAATCGATACTATGCTTACATCACCGGCAATATCCAAAATTACGTGTCAATTTCTCAGAACTGGTCCTAACATTAGCAATATTATACCCTGGTCACTATATCAAGATCGCAGGGCATAAATCAGGTATACCCTAGGCACTAAGTGTATAAGCGGAAATTTCTTCTCCGCTTATACAACTGCCAGGATATAACTATTACTTAGTCATGCGGGTGAAATTTTTTTTTGATGGAAATATTGTGTGACCATTAAACCTAAGTGAAATTATAAATTTACTTAATTTGCTATACTCTAAACAATGATAAAAAGTTGTGCAGCGTTACTATATCAAAAATATTATTAAGCAAGTATATGAAATTAACCAATTAAATAACCATACATTTAATTTACCATTTCATAAAGCGATTAAAAAATTCTAATGATGACAATAATAAAATTATAAGTTTTTAATAGAACGAAACCACCGTTATTTCTACTCGAATCGTATTTTTATTATTTTAAAAAAGTACGTTTCCCTTCATTTTTTCACAATCTTTTAATATTGTTTTAAATTCAAAGAAATACTCATATATATTTTTTTTGTACTTTTATAATGTTTATAAATTATAATTTTCAAAATTTTTACAGACCTGAAAGATGAAACTCTTTAATATAAAACGAGTATAAAAGAAAATATTAGCTTTAAAAATATGGTAATAAATCTCAAATAAACATAAATATGTTAGATAATAATATAAAGTTTATAAAAAAAAAACTCTTTTAAATGAAAAAAAAACTTTTCATATAATCTACGCCGAAATCGTATCTTAAAAAAGAATATAGTAGTGTTTTCTATTGTTAAAGGAATTACGCTTTTAAATTACAGTTGTTCTAATAATTTCTGGGACAACTGAAAAATTTCTGATGATCGAATTTGATAAGTTACCGAGTTGGAATCAATAGGCAAACTGGCTTTGGTCATCAGAAATTTTTTAGTTGTCTCAGAATTTATGAGAGCAGCTGTAAATTTTATAAGCTTATTAACCTTACATACTTCCGAAATTATTGTAATATTTTCTACTTACATATTAAGTGCTCTTTATAATGAACGAACTAAAAATTTTAAAAATTTACTTTAGTTCTTTTAAATATATTACATATTTCTGATCTATCTTTAATTCACATTCACAAACAAAAAATAAATAAATAAATAAAGTACAGGACGGTGACGAAGCACACGGTGGAAAAAAAGAAAGTTTACTAACGTACTGTACAGTCATACTGAAATAAGGAGACGTTGTGACTAATTAATGCGCCACAATCTGTAACACATTCAAGAATTGATTTTAATTCGGTTATTATTGCCGTGCCCCTTCTACTTCCTCGCACACAACAATCGTGACCAACCTTCTATATAACGAAGTAATGTAGTATGGGATAAGGTTGCGGAACAAGCCAAAGAACGTCACTTAAGCAAACTTCGTGCTTATGACTTCTTTCTTTTTTTTTGGGGGCGTGGTTGGAGATAGCTGGACATCATGTCGAGCTGAAAATTCAAAAAACAAAGAAATCAATGTAGAACTCAAATACCATTCGTCATGAACAAGTCCAGTGACTTACTGTCACATGGGTTCGCAATTTTCCGCCTTGTGACATTCACAAGCGGATCATGATTGGATTAAATTTTATGAAATGTTATCAATTATAATTTTTTTAATCATCAAATTAAAAAATTTCTCCTATATGTATAGTAAAATTATCGACTGACTTTAATAATTTCATTTCGTAAATTTTTATTTTTTATCGATCGGGGTTAAAATAAAACTTCGAATATCACATGATATATTGACAACCACCGATGTTACTCTGGTAAAAATGGTTTACATTATTTTTGCCAACTTACATGTGACCTTGGATAATTGACTGAAGAGATCTAAACAATGTTGAACCTCCCAAAACCAATCTTGTCAAAGTTGATAACCAGTTAAATCCGATAAAAAATCAATTTATCAAGTCAGTTTCCGCTATATAAATCTAATAGTTTACAATGTTTTTCAATCTGATAACTTCTCAATAAGGATGCGAGCTATGCCTATACGTATTATATTATTAGTATAATACCAGCTTAATATCATTTTCTATCATACCGGTATAACTGCATCCCTATTTCTCAATGCTGATATAAAATTTGTCCACCATGCACATCAGTTTTGAGAGATTTAACAGTACTTTAACAATTTATGAATATTTATTAATAAATATGTTTATTCTTATCAATTTAATCTTTATTTTTATTTAAATCACAGTATCATTTATTTCTTTGTAAATAAAAGGAAATTATACCAACCTATCATACATGTCTAATTCTGTCATACCATACCCTAGCGCTAACCTTAACTCTGATAAATCACGTGTAAGCTGTGTACCAAAACAAATATTTTCATACCTTATCCAATTATCAAGGGGGGCACTTCAAGAACACTAACTCAGTGATCACATCACATGAAATCACGCAATGCCATTACACTAACAAATTAGCCTACACTAAATTATCACTTAACCCTAACAAACACTAACTTCTTAGTCTGATTGCTTAATTATGTGATGTGTTGATCATGAAAATATCACTGAGTTCAGTGTTTTTGAAACTACTTGTAAAATTGGTTAGAAAGAATTTTAGAATCTGCTATACCAATTTTGTTGTAGCAGTAAGAAAAAAAAAAAAACAAAGAATTAGGTGTGAGAATAAAAAAGAAAAGGAAAATATACACCTGTAAAAAAAAAGTAAGACTGATTAAGAAAGAATCTTGAAATGGTCATGCCCTAAAATTGAGGCAAAAATGTTAATCTAAACTAGTCCTGAAAATGTATTTGTAGCAGTTAATAATATTACATAGAATAAAATTTTTTTTTACATTACAACTTTAGTTTATTCATTATGAGATAAAAATTAATTGATTTTACACTTTACAATGTTTATTGACAAGATTTAGAGTTTTTTTTTCTTTCATATTAATATTTTTTTTATTAAATATAATAGTTAACAAATGAAATAAATAAATGTTTGAAATTATGCTATTAAATGATAAATTGCACAAATCTAGACTTATTATTTGAATGTAAAAACTGTTAAGATTTGAATATATTTTAAGTAATTACTATTAGCTATTGCTTATTTTAAAAATAATACCCCATAATTAAAACTCACTATTATGTTTTTTTAAATAAGATCCAGGTATAGTTATATTGATTTACTGCTTTAATCTATATTTGCTAACTATTGCAGTAAATTAAATAGAATTGTACTAGCTAGTATTAAAATTATTATGATTTTTTATGATTTACAATAAAAAAATTCTTATAATAGTTTGTTATTATATTTATTTACTGTAATGATATAAATAATTTATGTTACAAAAAATAACTTTTGTTTTCAACAAATCTATATATTAAAATTTCAAGCAAAAAATTGATTACAAATATATTGCTACATCCTATGTGATCTTCCATATCAAAATTATTGTTAACCACTGCTTACAATATCTGGAATCTTATTCAAAAACTTTATTTTTTTAATAATAGATAGTACTAATAGGTACCACATAAAGAACTAATACTATTTTA